TTTTCGAATGAGACTCGGTTCACAACCAGTCGTGGTGGTGAGCGATTCCATAGTTGCTAAGGAGTGCTTCAAGGCAAAGGACAAGGAGCTGGCGACGCGGCCAAAATTCATGGCAGCTGAAATCATGGGTTACAACTACTCCATGTTTTCGCTTGCCCCATACGGGGAGTACTGGCGTGAAATCAGAAAGATAGTCTTGCTGGAGCTGCTGTCTACTCGTAGAATTGAGATGTTAAGGAAGGTGAGGGAATCCCATGTAAGAAAAGCCATCAAACGTACCTTTGATCACTGGTCACACAACAAGGATCCAATTTCTGGGGCGGTGGTAGTGGAGATGAGGCAATGGTTTTCGAGGTTGATCTTGAACCTCTCCATAGCCATGCTTTTCGGGGAGGAAGAAGTGGCAGAAGAAAGCCAACTGTTGAAGTCCATTAGGAGACTGTTTGAGCTGTTTGGAGAGTTGCCGGTGTCAGATTTTATTCCCTGGCTGAGATGGATGGACTTGGGAGGGTACGAGAAGGCTATGAGGAAGACTGCTGAGGAAATGGATTGTGCTGCAGATAGGTGGCTTAAGGAGCATAGAACAAAAAGAAATTTGAAATCTAAAGAAGAAGAAGACTTTATGGATGCCATGCTTTCTCTATTTGATGATCCATCCAACCAAACTCATCCTCTTGGATTTGATAATGATGTCATTATCAAATCTACTTGCTTGGTATGCATAAACATGCTCTTTTTAAAAAAAAAATCTTTTTGTCAATGTGTTGAAAAGTGCTAATTATATGCATATGTATTTGATAGAACTTGCTTCTAGCTGCTACCGATACAACCAGCGTAACATTGATATGGGCTCTCTCCTTAGTACTAAACAATTATGATGTGCTGAGGAATATCCAAGAAGAACTAGACACGAAGATTGGAAAATCTAGGGGCATTGAGGAATCTGACATAAATCAGTTGACTTACATCCAAGCTGTCGTGAAAGAAACATTTCGTTTACATCCAGCAGCTCCACTCTCTGTACCCCACGAGGCTATACAAGACTGCACCATTAACGGCTACCACATACATAAAGGCACTCGTGTAATACCAAACTTTGCAAGGATTCATCGCGATCCAAAGGTGTGGGTAAAGCCTAATGAGTTTTGGCCAGAGAGATTCTTGACTACTCACAAAGACATTGATGTCAAGGGCAATCATTTTGAGATAATTCCATTTGGTAGTGGTAGAAGAGTGTGCCCTGGTATAACTTTGGGTTTACAGATGGTGCATTTGACACTTGCTAGCTTGATTCAAAGCTTTGATATGAAAAGGCCATCAAAAGAGCCAATCGATATGACTCAAAGCCCAGGGTTAACTAGTCTCAAGGCCACACCACTCTATGTTCACCTAATTCCACGCTTGGATTCAGATTTGTATGGTTAATTTACTTATATAGAAGAAATAAGAAGCATTGAGTTAAATAAATCATGAATAAGAGAGTATTTATATTATAAATATTATAAATGTATATTTCATGAATAAGAGAGATTATTTCTATTTTTCCTTTCCCCTTTCTCCTTCCGTTTCTTATTTCTTGGTTCTTCTTCTTCATTTCTCTCCCCTTCGTCTTTTCTTCGTTTCCCCTTTCTAGTCCATTGCTTCGTGGCAAATTATTCGGCCACACAGTGTTGTGTGGACCAAAACAAAAAATATATTTTTAATATATTGAATGTACATTATACAATATAATGTACACTCAGTACACAAATAATGTATATCCCATGAATACAATGTACATTTTTAATATACTAAAAGTACGTTATTTTTGTATTGAATGTACATTATTTTATAGTATACAAATATAGTCCATACAGATTGTGTAAACCATGGTCCACACAATAATGATTGATTCTACGTTTCCCGTTTCTGGCCCATTCCAACTTAGCAGATCGCAAATCTAAGGTATGCATGTGAATATATCTAGAAGTCAAAGTTTTCATGTTCATCAATATAGGAGATACGTTGTCATTGTGATCATTTGGCACCCATCAAAATGTCATGGAGCTAAGTCGGGGCATGGAAGTTGTCTTCTTTTTTTAGTGCTTGGATTTTGATGTAACTGAGCAAGTAACACAATTGATCAGAGGCATACTAAAACTATTGGATAAGCATCAAAATAAAATCCACGCACAAGCTTGAAATTGAGATGGAAAAGAATGAACTTGATATGCTCTTGTGCTCTTGTGTTGAAGGGTTTGTGCAAAACTTTGTCAATATTTATATATAGAGTTAATTCTTTTTTTGTCCTAGATTTATAGATGTCAGTCCCCTTTTTATCATAACATCCACTTTTGGTCCTAATATTATTATGGCATAGTCATTTTTGGTCATTTATCAATAAAACAGTTTAATAAATATCGTTAAGAGTAATTGTCACATGGGGTCCTCCGAGTATATTGGTTTCGCCACGTTTAGTCTTAAATTTTCAAATTAACTATATGTGGTCCTCCGACTTTCAAATTTAACCATTTGTGGTCAAAGTTAACCACCCATAGTCCTTCAACTTTAGAAATTTAACCAGTCATAGTCCTCTTGAAATGATCATGGTTGGTTAAAATTTAATAGTTGAAGGACCATATATGGGTGGTTAACTTGGACCATTAATGGTTAAATTTGAAAGTCGAAGGATCACAGATGGTCAATTTGAAAGTTTAGGACTAAACGTGGCAAAATCACTATACTCGGAGGATCTCAGATGGTATTAACTCTATCGTTAAATACAAAAATATTTTTGTATTCAATATATATATATATATATATATATATATATATATATATATATATATATATATATATATATATATATATATATATATATATATATATAGCGGTTCATCATACTTTATATAGAAAAGATTGAAATGTTTTTGTATTTAACGACATTTCAACGGTTTTATTGATGAAGAACTAAAAATGGCCATCCACAATAATACTAAGACCAAGTAATAATGTTCTAATAAAAATACCTAAAAGTAGATTATCACATATAAATCTAGGACTAAAAATGAAATTAACTTCTTTCTCTATATGTGTGTGTAAAAGGATTGTTGAGATATTAATTATAAAAGAAATGGATTTTCTTGAACTAAGATGTTGTGTTGAAGTTTCTGAAGAAAGTTGAAATTTTAAAAATTGATAGTTGAATTATATTTTCAAAAGAGAAGATTTATTGAGATATCAAAAGATAAGATTGGGATTTGACTACCAAAAGAGTTACGTGTTGGACTCTACTGATTTTTATCTCTTCTACTTTTTTTTTTGTCAGATCACGAGGTGTCCTGAGCAGGTAAGAAGACCCTCTAAACTCGTATCATAGAATAATCTCTGTTCGCGCAGGTTCGACTTAATTAAGGGACAAAGTGCTGATCAAACTGATTTTTCTATATAAGAGGGGTTCGAACTCCTGATATCTCTTCAAGGGATAAGAGTGCACAGTCATTCACGCCAACCAAACTGGTTTGTATTGAGATATTTGTTTAAGTTAAGGCAAGTAGAATTAATCCATTCCTCCCACTTGAAGTGTGGATGCATGCAGCTTGTCTTTTTGTAGCCATCCCACCTCGGCTCTCTTGCTATTGTCAAGGTTGATGGCCATTAAAATCTTGAGGATTTCCTTTTCAGTTTGAAGACACAAAGATTCGGGCACACCAATACTGGCATATAGAGAACGTTGATGTTGGCACCTAGCTAGCTTGTCGCATACTAATTTTGGCTCACTTAGGCCATTCCTTATCTTATCTCATTTGGGTATGTAGCTAGCTAGGTTGGATATTCTAAAAGTCTAACACGGCTTTGGTTTTCAAATTGAAGCGTCTTCACATATGAATTTATAACTAATATTACTATGTACTATGTGTACATGCACATATATCATATTTGTTTTTATTTATTTTTAATATTAAGATAACAACATCTGATGTGTTCATAATAGTTACAACTAACTAAGAAGTTTATAAATAAAATTGAAAATTTTAAAATAAATAATATTAACATTATCTCTGAAAATCTAATAATGTGCTATTATCGCCCTTTTTTTTTGTAATCGATCTTAGCCGGCAAATTAAAGACTACAATGAGGTAAATCGACTTATATTGTTCATAGTTGAGTGACTCAAACCAAGACAACCAATAATGGTCTCCTACGGGGAATTGAACTTGTAACCTTGTTGTTACCAAGCCAACAACAATTAGTACATTTTACCATTTAAACACATCTCTCCATGGTAAGCCACATCCTTACATCTCGAATCGAGAAGGGGCTGAACTCGGCCAACCAGGCCGACACCCAACAATCCCCCTCTCAGCACCTGCCGCAACCTTTGAACACCAAGCCAGTTGGATCTAAGCGCTGCACTATGTTTACTTCTCAGTGGGTCACTCATCTTGTGATGGTTGTAAGTCAAGCACACGCTTAACCACAGAGTTTTTTGATTATCTGGTTGTCGCATCATACTTAAAATCAATTGGTGATAAGTGGGTGAACATTAACCATTTAACCACACCCTTCCATGATAAGCCACATCGCCACGTCTCGAATCGAACAGGGGTTGAATTGAACTCGATTGCCACGTCTCGAATCGAGCAGGGGTTGAATTGAACTCGGCCAACCTACGGGCCGACGCCCAACATTGATTACTGCATGGTTGTAGGTTCAAAAAATCACTATGTTCATATCGCTACTATAGATCATTCAAAAAATCACTACTACAAAGAATATATCTTTGTTGGATATATTGCAAGAATATATGGTTAAATTTGCTAAAGAATGAAAGTCATGTACCGAATTGAAATTGCTTCATTTGAAAATTCAAGAATCAAAGTTGAAAATGCCAATAAAATCATAAGGCTAAAAGTGAGAAATATTCAAAACTTTTATTAATACAACAATAATTTTACAAAAAGACATTATAAATTAAAGATATATATATATATATATATATATATATATATATATATATATAATAGAATTAATCTCTCTTATATATTCATTAATTAACCATACAAATCTGAAGCCAAGCGTGGTATTAGGAGAACATGGAGTGGAGTGGCCTTGGGGCTAGTTAATCCTGGGCTTTGTGCCATATCAATTGGCTCTATTGATGGTCTTTGCATGTCAAAGCTTTGAATCAAGCAAGCAAGTATCAAATGCACCATCTGTAAACCCAGAGTTATACCAGGGCACATTCTTCTACCACTACCAAATGGAATTATCTCAAAATGATTGCCCTTGACATCAATGTCTTTGTGAGTAGTCAAGAATCTCTCTGACCTAAATTCATTAGGATTTACCCATACTTTTGGATCGCGATGAATCTTTGCAAGGTTTGGTATTACACGAGTGCCTTTCTGAACGTGGTAGCCATTAATAGTGCAGTCTTCTATAGCCTCATGGGGTAGAGCGAGTGGACCTGGTGGATATAAACGCAATGTTTCTTTCACGACAGCTTGGAGGTAAATCAATTGATTTACGTCAGATTCATCAATAATGGCACTATGTTTTCCAATCTTGGTGTCTAGCTCATCTTGGATCATCCTCAACACATCATAATTGTTCAGTATTAAGGAGAGAGCCCATGTCAATGTTGCGCTAGTTGTGTCAGTGGCAGCTACAAGCAAGTTCTATCAATTCAAGCATATAATTAGTACTTTTTCAACACAATGACAAAAAGATTAAAAGAAAATGTTTATGCATACCAAGCAAGTAGATTTGATAATGACATCATTATCAAGTCCAAGAGGATGATGAGTTTGGTTGGATGGATCATCAAATAGAGAAAGCATGGCATCCATAAAGTCTTCTTCTTCTTTAGATTTCAATTGATTTCTTTTTCTTCTGTGCTCCTCAATCCACCTATCTGCAGCGCAATCTATTTCCTCAGCAGTCTTCCTCATAGCCTTCTCGTACCCTCTGTCCATCCATCTCAGCCAGGGAATAAAATCTGACACCAACATCTCTCCAAACAGCTCAAACAGTCTCCCAATGGACTTCAAGAGTTGGGTTTCTTCTGCCACTTCTTCCTCCCCAAAAAGCATAGCTATGGAGAGGTTCATGATCAACCTCGAAAACCATTCCCTCATCTCCACTACCACCGCCCCAGAAGTTGGATCCTTGTTGTGTGACCAGTGATCAAAGGTACGTTTGATGGCTTTTCTTACGTGGGATTCCCTCACCTTCCTTAACATCTCGATTCTACGATTAGACAGCAGCTCCAGCAAGACTATCTTTCTGATTTCACGCCATCCCAGTACTCCCCGTATGGAGCAATCGCAAACATGGAGTAGTTGTAGCCCATGATTTCAGACGCCATGAATTTGGGGCGAGTTGCCAGCTCCTTGTCCTTTGCCGTGAAGCATTCCTTAGCAACTATGGAATCGCTCACCACCACGACTGGTTGGGAGCCGAGTCTGATTCGGAAAATAGGGCCGTGTTTATCCGCCATGGATGCCAAGATCTGGTGAATTGGCGTCTTCTTCCCACCGGCGAGCAGATGGAGATGGCCGATTATGGGCCATGCCCCTGGGACCTCCGGCGGCGCTAGCCTTTTGTGTTTTTTGGGTGCAACAAATAGCTTGCACATAAAGAAGAGAAGCACCAAGGTGCAAGCTAAAGTAGGGATGACAATATTATTGTTGTATAGTAGGGAAAGGAGTTCCATGGCTTTGGTTGGATACACAAAATATGAACATCTTCTCCCGATTTATAAACAAAATATCGCAAGTATGTAGCAAGTTTCAACTGTTGAATAAGACGGCTGAATGAAAAAAACAAAGTATTCAAAGAGTTACTCCCTAAATTTTACTTTCTGATTTGATAATTATGATAAACTATTTTTTTTATATTATTTCAATACAAATGTCTTCACTAAAATTTTGTGTGAAATTAAAAATTGAAAGTATAAAATAAAAGTACACTCCGTACTAAAGTATGTTCACGTAGACTAAGTCCAAAAACTTCTACTTGGCGGTGGTGACAACCACCTGCTTCACTTGAGCATTAGCCACCTTCAGCTCATCAAGGCTTTCCACACACTTCTTCACTCTGCAATAAATTCAAGTCATAAATGCCCACCATTCAATTCATTGACATTTTTTAAATTAATTATTATTTTCTCTCGAATTTCTAACCCCAAGGACCCAAATATTCAGCCTGACGGAGTATTTCGAATGATATAAATCACGGTGACTCAATGGTTCAGCAGACAGGTCCAAATGTCGGTGTGAATAAAGGGTCTGCTCACTTTGAAAATAATCTCAACACTACCCGAGGTTCAAACTTTAATTTCTTCTTCTAAATATAATCAATTGAACCAGTGAGATAAACCTAAATGATTGAAATTATAAGATTAATGAATGATAAAGATGTTTCTGATTGATAGAGAATATTTATGAACTTCTTATACGTTACATGCTCTTGTTCAATAATCAAGTCATGTGCTCGGGTCAAAGTCAAATAGTCAATATTTGAATCTATACAAGGGCCATTCACGCCACAAGCAAATAAAGGGGACCTTTTTTTTGGGGCACTTCTACGCCTTCTCTTCTCTATTCTCTCTCTCTCTCTCTACAAGATGAAATAAAAATGGCTCTTAAGCCGAGTTCTGTCATCTTCTCTGAGTTCTCCCTATTCTTCATACATTTTCCATACACATTATATACATACAAAATACACCAAATGAATTTACTCTATCACTGATCATTTTTGGAATTCAAAAAAAAAAAAAAAAAAACAAACAAAAATATGTTCACGTACTTCAAGTCTGAATCAGTCCCTACAAGTCTAAAAAAAAAACTAAAACGTGTGTAGTACTCGCATGAAGTAACATGCAGTCTACGTACGAATACACCCAGACTAACGGGACACTATCCCTAAATCCGGGGTGTACACATCTCCACTCGGCCTTGCAGTGGTCAACTTATTATCTATCTCGCTCCTGTAATGGTCGACATGTATCTATCCCGCTCCTGCGGCGGTCGACTTATATTATCTATCCCGCTTCTGCAGTGGCTGACTTATTATCTATCCCGCTCCTCAACGATCGACATGTATTTATCTCGCTCTTGCAGCGGTCGACATGTATATACCCCACATCTGCAGCGGTCGACTTATTATCTATCCCGCTTCTCAACGGTCCACATGTACATATCCCGCTTCTCATCGGTCAACGCGGTCGACGTATCTTATCCTGCTTCGTAGCGGCCGATATATTCCGCTCCTTGGTGAACCGCTAAGTTACCCCTCGAGGTATAGCGTCTCAATGAGCTTGCACGAGGGGAGGCTGGCGAGTATCTTTGTCTTTTTCTTATAGGGCACGTGCGAGAACTGGGTCATCCTAACGAGTAGCATGTGTGAGACGCTGTAGAAATCGAGCACCGAGCTGCCCAGAAGAGATGAAGAACTTTCAGACCATGAGTCGAGAGCGTCAAGGTGTGTAGAAGGTCGGGAGTGTCTATACTTTATTTTCTCGTCCAAGACAACTAAAGAAAGTGTGGGACGTATGATGGGGACATGGGACCAGAGGGACCCATTTTATTGGACAAATCATGGCCCAGGTAAGGGTGTTGAAGGAAAGAAGCTGGCCCAAGTCTTATTGGGCTAGGAAATGAAGGTGGGGGACAAGGTGGGGCAAGCCAGGTCCGAGGGGCGAAGGGTGCAAGGTGGAAGACCAAGCAGTGCGAAGTGGAAAAGGGGGGGCGCCGATCGACCGCTGGGGGCCGAGGCGCCCCGGTGGCGTGCCCAGTCGCCCGGGGTGGCGGCTGGTCGCGCCGCCACCCAGGCGGCCTGGGGACGCGGGACGCGCGCCTGGCAAGGCGTGGGGCGCGATGGTGCGCGCCCCTTTGGCGCGTCGCCCGCGTATCTCTCATGGTGCTCTTCGGGTTGTTCGTGGTAAATTCGGGCATGTGACAGGTGTAAGCTGCATAAGGTGGTCGAGGCGATTGAAGGACATGACTACATGAGAGGCGTGTCTGGCTGGAGTTGACACCTCCTGGATGCCGTACACGTGGAGGGTGCAGGGGAATCCTCTAACAGTATAAAGGGGGGAGGGGGGAGGGGTCTGGTCCATGTAAGGGTATCACTCAAGGCATGCATGATTTCCTCTTTGAGCAGGTGGTTTGGGTCTTTTCCTCCCTGTTGGTGTGCTTGGGTTTGAGTTATGGTGGTAACATATTTATGTTATTTTATTCCATTTGTTCATTAGTTCTTCAATTATTTATTTATTTATTATTTGGCCCAGTATTTTGAGTTTTGTACATTTTCTTTTGAGCATCACGTCCTAAGCAATAATATTACTATTTTCATAACCCCGTTTTATATTCTCTATACCCCGTTTAGGGTGGACCCGGTTCTGATAAAACCATCTATTATTATTATTATTATTATTATTATTATTATTATTATTATAAGGTAGCTTGAAAGCAAGATGGTGATCACTTCGTGGAGAATTGCAATGGTATAGAAGTGTGTGATGATGAGTTGTAATGTTTAGCAGGATAGAATAGATTTTTCTAGCTTGATGAGGACTACCAGTCTACCACCAGAAAGTTCCTGGATTTTGTCATTATTTTTGGCTTCAGATAATATATTGATGTTTATCTTCGTGTTTGTTCTCGGGTAGCGTCGTTTATCTGCAGGCTGGACTTTCCTTTTTAGAAATCTTTTTATCTATTTTTCACCAACGTCACCATATGACACGTACTATCCGCACCTCACTTGTTATATGAAATAAAGTTATCTTCTCATAAAAATGTAGATTTATCTCAATCATTTATTTGAAATAATCTGACGTACATAACTGAAAATTTGAATAAAGAATTGTCACTAATATTTGTGTAATTATTACAAACTTATGATCATGGTTGTACTAGGCGCTAGACAGTAGTCGGACGGTGAACTAATATATATATATAATGAAAAAAATTTGCAAGGCCGAGTCGATCGGGTTAACTCGGCTAACTTGACCGAAATGGACGAGTCAACTCGGCCGAGTTAGGCATTAGGCGGCTGCCTAGGCAGTCGAGTCGGCCAAGTTAGGCGCTAGGCGAGCGCCTAGGCGGGGTCTAGGGGAGAAATCGCCACAGTCTAGGGATTCCTAGCTCCTAAACGAGCGTCTAGACCGACTTTCGCCACACTGCTTATGATGTATGTAATAAATTTGATAGTGAATTGATCAATAATTGATAGCGCATTTAACATCTATCAATAGTGCACTCGATGAGAATAGAACAATAGTTCTGGAAATTAAATGATATTATTATTGATCAATATCCATGATGATTGAAAGTAGACAGTAAAGAGATGTATTTTTATAATGATACAAAGAATCCTAATCATGATAAGAATTATAATGGCAATACTTTTTCTTCCCAATATAAAAATAATACTCTTCTTCCAAAAGGCTGAACAAGGTAATACTCTTCATAATATAAGAAATGGAGAGAGAATAAATTCAATCTAGTGTGTTTAGAATACAATGTCCTAAACTTCTAATACACTCAAACTTGTTACACTATAATATATCAATGCACTTTATTAACAGATGCACTACTGATCTCAAGCTTGTCTCAGTGTATAACAAAAGTTCATAATAATTTAACAAAATGTCATTGTATATGTATATTTTTTATTTTCTCCCTATTTTTTAGTAGTTGATCAATTCAAATTGACCCAGATAAGATCATTCCACCTTTTTCTTTTACGGGATATGTATACAGGCTCACGGAGAACCACTCCACATGAAAAGATTAGGAACTAGTCAAAATTATTCATTTATTTCGTCATATTTCTATAAATAATTCAAACTTTAAAGTGTAATTTTTAATATTATATAGTGCAACTAAGTAAAATTACAGAATAAACTCTAATAATGGGACATTGACTCTATAAATTATAATAATTAGAAAAATTATAAAACAGATACTAACTTGTAATAAGCATTCAAAAAAAAAAAGATACTAACTTGTAATAAATTCAATAGTATTCAAAAAATAAAATTACAGAGTACATTTGTTAAAATTCATAAAAACTATAACAAAAGACTAAATCCAAAGTTAAGCCATTAATATTGAACTCTAGTATTCAAAAAGTAAAATTACAGAGTACATTTGTTAAAATTCATAAAAACTATAACAAAAGACTAAATCCAAAGTTAAGCCATTAATATTGAACTCTTAAATAGTACAAAGATGTGAACACTCGGTGCAATGAACTTTCACTTTTGGTACAACTAATGATATAGTTTGATGTACTCTATTATATTGTGGTTAGATGTACTTTATATGGGATATGGGATGTGTTCTATGGTGTTGCTACTTGCAGTCTTGCACTCAAAGTTTGAGTTATTTACAAAAATAACATTACATTTTTCCTCTCCTTTACTTTAAAGTTGTTAGATCTTTTCAGATCATCAGCTTAAAATGGTTCTTAGCTTAGTTCTCTTTTACGACAATGTTCTTATTTGATACAAATCATATATATATATATATATATATATATATATATATATATATATATATATATATATATAATAAGACTCATATGCGGCAGGGTCCTTAGGTGCGGCGGTGAGGTCATATCAGCATCGTCCATTTTGCTTAATCTGATGATCGCGACTAATTTCTGAAGATTTGAAGATTTGAAGATTTAAGCGCATCTTGGTAAGTGGGGGTATTATGGTAATTATAGTGATCATTTATATCGATCGTTTAACAGAATACACCAACAGTGTTAACAAAATACACCAACAGTATTAACAAAAGACACTAATAGTGTTAGAAAAAGCACAACAATGAAATACACAAATACACCAAAATAACACATAACACACCCTAAAAATATACCATATAACTCACCACCCCAATGGTGTATGTCCGAACACTGTGTGGTGCTTTTATACATACTTAATAGTGTGTCCTGGTGATGCGTACCGAATTTGTGCATGTTTTTTTTGTGTGCATTTTCTAACATGGATGATGTATATTTGTATAACTATTAGTGCGGTCACATTGACCGCACAGGAAGGCACCAACACGAATCCACAAATACACCCGAGTAAGGTTAATAATGCACCAATAACGAACATAAAACACACAACACTATGATTTTCCCTCTTCTGGTGCCCAGTGACGACTTTAGCCTTGCAGTTCGCGTAGAGTGAGAACGTGCGCGAAAATATCGGAGAAGCCCTGACGAATGTGATTCATTAGATTTATCTAATCTAATGGCCTACAATTGACCGCACCTAACAGCACCGCCGCACTTGAACCTTCCTATATATATATATATATATATATATATATATATATATATATATATATATATATATATATATATATATATATATATATATATATATATATATATATATATATATATATATATATATATATATATAGGGAAGGGATCAGGTGCGGGTGAACGCACATTAAGCATTACACTGGTGCACTTTAAGTACACAACACACGCACAATAAACACACAAATAAAATACATTCATAACACAAACTCACACACTTTAAGCACAAAAGTCACGCACTTTAAACACAAAAGTCACGCATCTTAAGCACAACCCTCACGCACCTTAAGCACAAAACTCACGCACCTTAAGCACAAAAAGAAACGTCACACCTTAAGTTTTAACAACAATTCACATTAAGTACACACTCACGCACATGTACAAAACTCATGCACTTTAAGCACAAACATTAAGCACAAAACTCATGCACTTTAAAGTTTCAACAACAACTCACATTAAGTACGCACTCACGCACATTAAGCACAAAACTCACGCACATTAGGCACAAGACTCACGCACATTAAGCACAAACCTCACGCATCTTAAGCACAATACTCACGCACATTAAGTACAAAACTCACGCACATTAATCACCCGCACAACCACACGGGAAACTTTCACTCACACTGGAACTTAAACATATATATATATATATATATATATATATATATATATATATATATATATATATATATATATATATATATATATATATGCTTGTGTTCTAATGAGAACACTTCCTAGGTGATGAGGACATGTGAACAAACATAAGTGTGCACAAATTACTACATGAGTGCACACAATATACTCCAGGGTCTCCACTGTCATCCAGGGATGTCTGGGAGTAGATTGTGTGCACTCATGCTTATTCACACGTTCACACCTACGGAAGTGTTCTCATATGATAGATCCGGAATCTATATATGAGCAAATATCAATTTCGGTACCACGAGTATTAGTAAAATGACAGTTTTAGTTCACATGTTTAATTACTATATCAATTTTCATCCACAGCTATTGTTTTCGTGTCAAAATTGATCAATACAGTCACTCCTCCCGCTAAAACATGCCGGATTGTGTAATTTGTAAGGGTTATTTTGTCTATTCATGTATAATATGCCAATTCCATTAATATATGAATAGACAAAAATACCCTTACAAATTACACATTCTGCCCTATTTTAATTTAACTAGAAGGGTGACCGGCATGATTAATTTTAACAAGAAAACAATAGTCATAGATAAAAACTGATAATAATTAAGCATGTAGACCAAAATATATTGGTTTTGCTCATATATATATATATATATATATATATATATATATATATATATATATATAGCTCGCTTAGTTTGTTCATCATTTTGTATCCAAATTAAGGCATGGAATTCCCTTTCCCACTATGCAACACTTTTATCATTCCTACTTTAGCATGCACATTTGTGCTTGTCTTCTTTATGTGCAAGCTATTTCTTGCACCCAAAAAGCACAAAAGGCTAGCGCCGGAGGTCCCAGGGGCATGGCCCATAATCGGCCATCTCCATCTGCTCGTTGGTCGGAAGAAGGCACCCACTCACCTAATCTTGGCATCCATGGCGGATAAATACGGCCCTATTTTTCGCATGAGACTCGGCTCAGTACCAGTCCTGGTGGTGAGCGACTCGAAAATAGCCAAGGAATGCTTCACGGCCAAAGACAAGGAGCTCGCAACTCGCCCCAAATTACTGGCCTCTGAAATCATGGGCTACAACTACTCCATGTTCGGGATTGCTCCATACGGGGAGTACTGGCGAGAAATCAGAAAGACCGTCATGCTTGAGCTCCTGTCTAATCGTAGAATCGAGATGTTAAGGAAGGTGAGGGAATCCCATGTAAGAAAAGCCATCAAACGTACCTTTGATCACTGGTCACACAACAAGGACCCAACTTCTGGGGCGGTGGAAATGGAGATGAGGCAATGGTTTTCTCGGTTGATCATGAACCTCTCCATAGCCATGCTTTTCGGGGAGGAAGATATGGGAGAAGAAAGCCAACTGTTGAAGTCCATTAGGAGACTGTTTGAGCTGTTTGGAGAGATGCCGGTGTCAGATTTTATTCCCTGGCTGAGATGGATGGACATGGGAGGGTATGAGAAGGCTATGAGGAAGACTGCTGAGGAAATGGATTGTGCTGCAGATAGGTGGCTTAAGGAGCATAGAACAAAAAGAAATTTGAAATCTAAAGAAGAAGAAGACTTTATGGATGTCATGCTTTCCCTATTTGATGCTCAATCCAATCAAACTCATCCTCTTGGATTTGATATTGATGTGGTTATCAAATCTACCTGCTTGGTACGTATAACGGATCAGCTGTTCTGTACTAGTGCATTTAATTCGTTGAAAATACTAATTTTTATTTGTATTCGATGGATAGAACTTATTTGTAGCAGCCACCGATACCACTAGCATAACACTGACATGGGCTCTCTCCTTAATACTAAACAACTATAACGTGTTGAGGAGGATTCAAGATGAACTAGACATTCACGTGGGAAAAGAAAGGTGCGTTGAGGAATCTGACATAAATAAGTTGATTTACGTCCAAGCTGTGGTGAAAGAAGCATTTCGTTTACATCCAGCGGTCCCGCTCTCTGTACCCCATGAGGCCATGGAAGATTGCACCATTAACGGCTACCACATTCAAAAGGGCACTCGTATAATATCAAACCTTGCAAAGATTCATCGAGATCCAAAGGTGTGGACAGATCCTAATGAATTTAAGCCTGAGAGGTTCTTGACCAGTTACAAGGACATTGATGTTAAGGGTAATCATTTCGAGCTGATTCCGTTTGGCAGTGGCCGAAGAATGTGCCCGGGTATGCCTTTGGCTTTACAGATTGTGCATTTGACACTTGCTAGTCTAATTCAAAGCTTTGATATGAAACGATCATCAATGGAGCCAATTGATATGACCGGAAGCATAGGAATAAGTAGTCCCAAAGCCACACCACTCCATGCCCTCCTAATACCACGCTTGACTTCAGATTTATATGGTTAATTAACTCAGAAGAAATAAGAAATATTGAGTTGTTAAACAAATAATGAATCAGAGAGATCAATTCCCTTGTTTAAATTTCTAATAATATAATGTGTGTTTTATAAATATATACTTGTATTGTACAGAAGTATTATATAAAATGAGTATCTTTTTTACTTTCTGAATGGCTGGTTATGTGTTCTGAGCAGATAAACTGCTTTTGCACTTCTATGAATGATAATAAAATGAAACAATGTGTAGTAGTATACACTTCTATCTGAACAAAGGCTTTAGGAAAATTGAGTTAATTAATGGATTGATCTTACTTAGGAAGCCATTTGAAGTATAGAAAGTATGTTGTGGTATTGATAGTTATACATTATTCCGGTATTTTGCTTAAGAGAAATCTGATTGAGAACTCATTCTAATAGTTGATTTGAGAAGATCAATAATTCTAAAGTAACAGGAAAAATAATGTGGTAATTTAATAAATATTTTAAACTTTAAGTGTACTGATCAATATTACAAAGTATCGACTGGCGCTCTAATGGAGGGTTGAGTCGGCGGTGCCATTAGTAGACTCCATCATCTGGTTGTTTTAGGAATAAGCGTTAGATCTCAGATTTTCTCCGACTCTCCAGATCTGACAAGTTTTTTTTATCACATTTTCCATTTATTTTGTTTTATTTTGATTCTACGATATCCATTTTGTTCCTTTGACTAGTTTGTTTTCTCTCGTCTCTTTGGCGAGTGTATCCCTCTCGTTTCTTTGGCGAGTTCTCATCATAAGCGTGGAAAGATAATATGGTTAGAGTCAGGCTTGACTATGTTTGACCAGATTTGTGAAGAAGCACCGAGTTCATCCAACAACTTCGACTTCAAATTTATAAAACAGTCTACAATCCAAGTTTTCTATAACATTACTAGGAAATTTGTTTCTATGTCTGACTGTAAAGAATGCACTGTCATTCTAACGATTTGTATTGTAAACATTCCTATTTATGATTAATGAATTAACCTTTTATAAATACTCATATACATTTTATTTTTATCTCTTTATTTTCATACATATATTTGTTAAAAATATCATAACAAAAAATTATTACGGAAAATAAATATTTGCTACTGTTCACAGCAAAAAGAAGTTGATACAAACAACAGCTTGTTGTTTACAGCTAGATACTATCCGCAGCAGAAATCTTCTAGTTACGCAGCAAAATTGACCTAAATTTTTTAACTCAAAATTTTTATATAATTAACATAATTTTATGTAATTCTATGTTCATTAATTATTAATATATGTATTTGTGATAAGTTGATTTTTTGAGGGATTCTCATTTATTTTATAGTGAAAATTGATTATATATATATATATATATATATATATATATATATATATATATATATATATATATATATATATATATTTATATATATTTATTTATGATTTATAAAAATATATTTTTGTAGAAATAAATAGTGTATTAATAGAAGTTATAGAATGTTTCTAAAGATGTATTCAATTTAGAGTTTTAATAACTTTTGTAAATTTTTTAATATGAATTTTTTAAAAAAATGTATAAATGTTTGTCCTACAAATTTTTATAGACTCCTATAAAATTGATGAAAGTTTAAATTCTTTTTGAAAAGTTTAAAAAGTTGCTATAACTTTCTTGATGGAATACACCATTCTTTAATTTATTTATTATAACTTTCATTCAGGGTAATAACATAAATTTCAATAAAAGGCGGGCCAGAAACAGAAATCAAATAACTTACTTGAGTTCAAATGGGAAACGAGAATACTTTGGGCATTTTTTTGCAGAAACGGGAAACATATCTCACCCAGGTCTCCCTTTCTCTCTCTTCCATCAAGACTCTGTCGACTGTCGGAGCTCCGATCTCTTCTTGAACAAGGTCTCTCTTTCTCTCTCTATATATATACGTGTACCTATATGTTTAGATGAACTTGCGAGCACGATATGATTACCTTGGGAATGAGCAACTCTGGATGCATATAAATACCTGTTTGCATACTTGTTTGTGTATTTGTGTATGTATAATTCACGTTTTTGTTTAATTTATTTGCTTATTTGGCATTTCAATATGATCCTTATGCCTTCAATTGCTCCTTGAAGTGTAGGAATATTTTTTGCCATCGATTTTCTGAAATCTGTGTTAGGTCTAATTTTCATTCTCAGCAGTTTTACTTACTGAAGGTGATCATTGTGGTTACTCTTCCCCTTGATTTGAGAATGTTAATTTTTAGGGTATATGAACTTGTCGAGCAAGGCTTTTGTGAGGTTGTGTTTAAGGTTTTTATTACTGATGGACTCACCTCTGTGATTTTGTGATATAATATTGACAAGATTTTGTTGAGAGGTTCGATTGTGATTTGATGCTCTGTCTGCAGGTTCCTGTCTGGTTTTTTGAACAGAAATACCATTTTGTTTAGTTTTAAGGTGTTGGAGTTATCATAATGGCCACGGGTCAGCGCACCCCGATTGATTTAGATCAAGGATGGGAATTTATGCAAAGAGGGATAACAAAACTGAAAAACATCTTGGAAGGACTGCCGGTGCCACAGTTCAGCTCTGAAGACTATATGATGTTATACACGTATCCTTTTAAACACTTCATTATGAAAACTTTGGTTTTATATTGTAGGGAACTTCTCTTTTCCCCCATTCTTTTTCCTTTAGTCTATTCCACAGGACAATTTACAATATGTGCACGCAAAAACCACCACATGATTACTCTCAGCAATTGTATGACAAATACAGGGAATCCTTTGAAGAATATATTACATCAACGGTTAGTTTTTGAACATAATTACAGTACAGGGTAAACACATGTAAAATAAGAGTACTGCTGAGTTTATAATTTTGATAATACTTATTGAAAGATAAAATCACACATTTAGATATATATATATATATATATATATATATATATATATATATATATATATATATATATATATATTCCGGATATGCACTTTGTAAATCGAACATGGGAAGAATATGTAGGGATACACAGAGCCACACTTACAAGCTTATAGCCTTATATACATCATGATGTATCTTATGCAACTTTATGTAACTGAAGCAAAATAAAGAAGATGGGGAGGATAAGGAAGAGAGGTATTATTCTATGATGTGACTGAGGGATTTATAAGGTGGTAACTCTTTGAGGTGACCAAAGACTTTATCTACTACCTAGCTTCTTTCCATGCTTTGGGGAACTTCAATTAAGGAGAAGTATATATAATTTTATATGTATATATATATAGGATTCAGTTTGCTGCCACTTACTTTTCCTTACTCTTTTGATATTGCCAAAATACTCATCTTTTCAACACACATTATGCCATACCTTTTAAGATTTTAATTTGTTAACTTACTTCAGGTATTACCTTCTTTGAGAGAAAAGCATGACGAATTTATGTTGAGAGAGTTGGTGAAGAGGTGGTCAAATCATAAAATCATGGTTAGATGGTTGTCAAGATTCTTCCATTACCTAGATCGTTATTTTATTGCTCGGAGATCCCTACCGGCACTCAATGAAGTTGGATTAACTTGTTTCCGAAATCTGGTAACTTGTGGCTGTCTACAATAAATTTGTTTAAATATAGAGTTCTTATTTATTTTTGCCACTTCTAGTGGATATTTTGGCTGTATCTTATAATTGATGTCTTTGTTGCATGCTATTGCTCTTCTTCTTCTTTTTTCCATGCATCTTTTCTCATGAATTTAGTTTGTGATTTTGAAATAATTTCAGTTATTGTAATTTTTTTCTTTTCAAATTGTATATTAACCTTGAGGCTATTTTCTGTCATTCAGGTGTATCAAGAGTTGAATGGAAAAGTAAGGGATGCTGTCATATCCTTGGTATGTTTTCTGCAGGTGTCCTATCTTCCTCACCCCAAAGTGCAAGTTTAATTGGTTGACTAATGATATTTGCTGACTAGATTGATCAAGAGCGTGAAGGGGAACAGATTGATAGAGCTTTGTTGAAGAATGTACTAGACATATTTGTTGAAATTGGAATGGGGCAAATGGATTACTACGAAAATGACTTTGAAGCTGCAATGCTCAAGGATTCTGCAGCTTATTATTCTCGAAAGGCCTCTAACTGGATTTTAGAGGATTCATGTCCAGACTACATGTTGAAAGTTAATATCCTCAACTTTTTACTTTTTTGTATATGAAATTCCACTTAACTTTGCATTCCATCACATCCTTCAAAGTCTCAAACTATTTTCTAATTATTTCTTTGGGCATATAGGCTGAGGAATGTTTGAAAAGGGAGAAAGATAGAGTCTCTCATTATCTTCATTCAAGTAGTGAGACAAAATTGCTTGAGGTTCATTCCAGCACCTTTATGTATTTTGTTCTTTTATTGGATTTTTCTAACAAACTACTCCTTTTGTTTATTTCTATGCGTATTTATGCTTTTCTGACCCTTTTAATTGGCTTATTTTGTTGTTGTTGTTTTTTTTTTTTTTTTTTTTTTTTTTTTTTTTTCTCTATTAGAAAGTGCAACATGAGCTGTTGTCTGTGTATGCTACCCAATTGCTTGAGAAGGAGCACTCTGGATGCCATGCATTACTTAGAGATGATAAGGTAATCAATAAGTCAAAACTCAAAACATGTTCTGAACATCGGTGCTGTTTAATTTGGTTGCGTATTGTCGCAGTTCCTGATCCATTCAATAATGTATGCAGGTGGAGGACTTGTCAAGAATGTATAGACTCTTCTCTAAAATACCACGAGGTTTAGAGCCCGTTGCTACTATTTTTAAGCAGGTTTTTTATATCATACATGCATATTGTGAATGATAGTACAAAAATTTAGCTTACTGCTTCTGCTTGTATGTTTCTTAAACTTCTCTACGTATGCTTTCTTTTCCCATGTAGCATGTTACTGCTGAAGGTATGACTCTGGTTAAACAAGCAGAAGATGCTGCAAGCTGTAAGAAGGTTTGTGCTTTGTAATATTTTTTTCTTTCTTTTTCAATGTGTTCTGTATGTCAGTGTTATTATACCCATACTAGACTTAAGTTAAAAAAGGAAAAGCGAGTTCAGTTTATTGTTAATACCTAAAATGCAAGCAAACTATAAAATTTACCTGAGAGTCTGAGAACCATGGTTTTTTGGAGCAAAACTGATACGCAGCCAAAATAAGAGATGGTTTACTCAGAAAAAAAGGAAGGATGCAAATCATAATATACAAGGAAGGCTTAACTCAAGGGATTTGACAAAAATAAATAGAGGCATAATCATCTCAACAATCATCTCCTTTCTATAATTATTTATTTCCTAGCACTATAAATTAGAATCTCTAGATGAGAGTAAATCATCCAATAATCTTCCTTAAGTCTTTAAGCTCTAGTAGCTAGGCAAGAGCCTAAAACTCTTGTTGGGGAAAGTCTTGTGACTTCCTGTTTCTTTTCTTTAGTTTCTAGTCAATAAAAATACCTCCTGGTTCTTTTCTCTAACAAATTGATCCGACCTGCCGTTGGATGGCGAACACACGAGATTCCCGTATAGAGACGTTAGAGAAGAACCAAGATGCAATCCGTACTGAATTGACCACATTGAACGATCGATTTGCAGCCATGGAAGCTTCTGTGGCTAGGATGTCTGATCTCCTCGCTCTCTCCTTCCAAGGAGGAGGGCACAACAATGCCAGTGCTTCATCAACTTCCATCCCAACGCCGAATTCAACCTCTCTCCCAGAACATGTTCAGCCGGACAACACCTCGTTGCCCATTGGAAAAACAGAACTCCCTACATTTGAAGGCACCGATCCAATTGGGTGGTTAGCTAGAGTGGAGCAGTACTTTGCCATTCATCACACCCGAGAGGATTTGAAGGTCCCAACAGCTTTCGTTAGTATGGAGGGGGCAGCTCTACATTGGCTCCTATGGCTACAACAACAACAACCCACTCTTACTTGGACTCAATTCACACATGACCTTTTGGAAGAATTTGGCGACGAATTGCCTGGGCCACCGTTTGAACAGCTTGCCGCTCTTCGTCAAACGGGCTTGGTGGATGAATTCATCGCTGCGTTTCGAGCTCGCATTGCCCAAATTCCTGGACTTGCTCCTCACATTCAATTAGGGCTTTTTCTCAATGGCTTGAAACCCGCAATTCGGGTGCGGCTCCGACCGAATGATGTGACAGATCTCCGAACAGCGATGCGTGTCGCTCGCGCGGCAGAACGAGAAATTGAATTTCTCTCCACAGGCCGGCTCCTTGGACGCAATCTGCAAGAAGAAAATGCAGCGCTCCAGATAATTCCTTCACATAGTGGGTCTACTTGGTCTAATGGGCATGGGAAGAATTACCAAACCAATTCTTTTTCGAATTATTCACAGCCCAAACCCATTCCAACCCAGTCTCAATTCTCTGGCAGTAATCAAACATCTTCCTTCTCCTCCCAAACACAACCTGCGTTTCCTGCTATGCAGTCTTCAGTACGCAATTCCAGCACATCAACATCACGAGCTCCGGCACGACATTATTCTAACAAAGAGTATCTGGACCTGCGCGCCAAAGGACTTTGTTTCCGTTGTCAGCAACTGTACAGTCCGCTTCATGTATGCCCGAATAAATCCTTGCAAACTCTAATTGCAGCAGAGGATGACGAGGACGAAACGAGCGACGAGCCTGGTGTAACTGACCAAATCGACACCGGACAATATAGGGCAGTCTTTCCAATCTAGCCTTGGGGACAAGGCTGTTTCTTTGGTGGGTGGCAATGATACGCACCCAAAATAAGAGATGGTTTACTCAGAAAAAAAGGAAGGATGCAAATCATAATATACAAGGAAGGCTTAACTCAAGGGATTTGACAAAAATAAATAGAGGCATAATCATCTCAACAATCATCTCCTTTCTATAATTATTTATTTCCTAGCCCTATAAATTAGAATCTCTAGATGAGAGTAAATCATCCAATAATCTTCCTTAAGTCTTTAAGCTCTAGTAGCTAGGCAAGAGCCTAAAACTCTTGTGGGGCAAGAGCCTAAAACTCTTGTGACTTCCTGTTTCTTTTCTTTAGTTTCTAGTCAATAAAAATACCTCCTGGTTCTTTTCTCTAACAAAAACTGATGTGAGATAGGAAATTAGTGCAGGAAAATTAGGAGATTGATTGACTCTAAAATATCTTTGATTGATTGCTATTTGAATTTGATTTATTTCCTTTACAAATGTCTAACTCCCAAGTCCTGGAAGAGTGGAGTGCTTCAATTTCATCAAGCCATCAACTTGGATCCTTGACATTCTTATGAACAAAAATCAAAGACAAACTAGTTATGGAAGCACAATATGATGGAGATAGACATTTTTGTGAAAGGACTTTATAGAAAAGATAAGGATTGCGAGTAGACCTTGTACCTATTTGATTGGCAATGGTAGAATTAGGTGCAGAATAGTTCAGGTTTCCAAACGGACCCTAAAGGAAAAATCAAATACTAAGAACTTTTTCCCCTAAAACTGAACATAGACCTATTTTGCCATTTGTTTAGAAGGATGGAGATTTAAAATCAAGAAAAATTGAGGAAGAACACGGGTTTCTTGAATTTCGTCAATAGTGTTCTGGTTTTGAAGAATAGTTCATGTGTTGATGATAAATTAAGTGTACCCCTGAATACTCTTTACATGTAATCATTGCATGTGAATTTCAGTTATTTTTGTACAAATTAAGGCTTAAACAATAAAGCTTTAGATTTTATGGGAACTAAAGGTGAATTTTCTGAAGAATGTAGGGACAAATGATACAGTATTTTTAGGGAAGGGTGCATATGGTATGGCTGGACCTGGAGGGTGAAATTTACAAGGCTAGAAGTAGGGTTGTGAGTGTGAGAAGGTGGTTGTAAAGAGCTAGAATTCTTAGAATTTGGAGTAAGGGAGATGAAATAACATATGATTATTTGAAACAAGGTTTAATTTTTGTGAAAATTTAGTAAACCACTCTAAGAAACCTGATAGCCATAGAGATACAGTACTCTTGCAGATGACCTCTGGCTTAGTTGGTTAAGTTCAGGTAATCTTGATCTTGACCAGAAGGTTAAGAGTTTGAACCCTGCCATATACAGAGTATGAGTATTGGGTGTAGCCCTTTTGGCTGAGTATTTGTCCCATTAATGTGCAGGCCTATTTCATGGGCTTTATTTGGTGTACATTATTTGATGGGCTGATGGTGCAAGAATAATTGTTGAAGGAACACAGTGATATAGTCCTAGATTAGTAGAGAAGTGTTAGTAGCAATTGGAAATTGGAATTTGTATTGTAAGTGTCATTGTTTAATAAAAAGACTAGGAAATCAAATTCTTATAATTGATCCACTATTCCTGAATTCCTGTGAAATATTTTCTTATGAGTGAACAGTTGAACATAATGATTTTATTATGTGTTTTATTGATTTTGGAAATTTAAAAAATTCTCTGCAAGTGTTTCATCATTCTCATGTAATATTCTGAGTGAAAATTAGAAATATATATGTGTTCTGTTTTCTTTTATGGATTTGGAAACTCAAATTCTTATTATTTTGTGGTTGTTCTAAAAAATATTTGAGTTAACAATTGAAACATAAAGTCTTCTAATAAATGTTCTGTTACAGGCAGAAAAGAGAGATGTTGTTGGTATTCAGGAACAGGTATATTTGATGACTTATGTTGAATGTCCTTGAACATATTTCTCAGTTGGTACTAACTTACAAATATTCCAGGTGTTTGTTAGGAAAGTGATTGAGCTTCATGATAAATATTTGGCTTATGTAAATGACTGTTTCCAAAACCACTCTCTTTTCCACAAGGTCAGTGAGATAGCACCACTGCTGATTTCGCAATCCTTTGTCTTAGTTTAAGTGTATTTCCTGCTTTAAAAAATCCTATCTGCAGGCTCTGAAGGAAGCTTTTGAAGTTTTTTGCAACAAGGGTGTTGCTGGTAGTTCAAGTGCAGAACTTCTTGCTACATTTTGTGATAACATTCTCAAAAAAGGTGGAAGTGAGAAATTGAGTGATGAGGCTATCGAGGAGACACTGGAAAAGGTACATATCTTTCTCCATGTCCATCTCTACCATATATATTAGAGCTATGAAAGATTCACAACAAATCCTTATTTCAGGTTGTAAAGCTGCTTGCTTATATTAGTGATAAGGACTTATATGCAGAATTCTATAGGTAAATCTCTTTACCTTTCATTTTTTTTAGTTCTTTTGACCTTTTACTGCTTGGGATGCTTGGTTGTATGCCTTGCTAATCCAAACACTGAATTTTGTTAGGCTCCATAAAGAAATTAAGGAACAGAAATAAATAGAAGAAATATTATCCTGTGTTTTATTTTATTTTTGAGATAAATGTTTTGTTGTCAACAGGAAAAAGTTAGCTAGACGGTTGTTATTTGATAAGAGTGCCAATGATGAACATGAGAGAAGTATCCTGACAAAGCTAAAGCAGCAATGTGGTGGTCAGTTCACATCAAAGATGGAGGGGATGGTAAGCTAAGATTATCTATCCTTAATTATCAACTTAAGTTCCCATTATTCTTTTGTTGTTGACACTGTGCTCCTTTTTTGCCTCCTCTTCTAGGTCACCGATTTAACTTTGGCTAGGGAAAATCAAACTAGCTTTGAGGAGTATCTCAGTAATAATCCTGGTGCAAACCCTGGTATTGATTTGACTGTTACCGTACTTACCACGGGCTTTTGGCCAAGCTACAAGTCTTTCGATCTTAACCTCCCAGCAGAGATGGTAAAGTGTATTACCCATTTCCTAATCATTTGAAAAGGCAGTTGGTTTACTCTGTTGTGTTTTATTTCCTCTCCCCTGACCCTCCACTATGTCTTTATTCATGGAGAAAGCTGGACTATCATCTCTTGTTTAATCCACTTTTTGAAGCAATTTTGTTTACTGCTCTGAATTGTTTTATTAGGTTAAATGTGTTGAAGTATTTAGAGATTTCTACCAAACCAAAACAAAGCACAGGAAGCTTACATGGATATACTCGCTGGGTACTTGTAATATCATCGGAAGATTTGAGCCAAAAACTATTGAGCTAGTTGTGACTACATACCAGGTTTTTCAAATAGACAAACTAGCTCAAAATCTTTATGCAAATTTTCATGAGTTTGCAGATGATGATGCTGTTGCTTTTACTGTCAATAGGCTTCTACTTTGCTGCTATTCAATGCATCCGATCGTCTGAGTTATCAGGAAATCATGACACAGTTAAACCTGTCAGATGATGATGTTGTTAGACTTCTTCATTCCTTATCATGTGCAAAGTATAAAATTCTCAGTAAGGAGCCAAGCACAAAGACAATATCTCCTACTGATGTTTTTGAGTTCAACTCAAAGTTCACAGACAAAATGAGGAGGATCAAGGTGATTAACTGATTACAGATCAGATGAGATTAATTTTGTATGGCTCGGTTCATTCAGGGTTCCTTTGATGAGTTTGTTAAGCAATGAAATTTGTTGTGGAAATGCAGATCCCTCTCCCTCCCGTGGATGAGAAGAAAAAAGTTATTGAAGATGTTGATAAAGACAGGAGATATGCGATTGATGCCTCAATAGTGCGCATTATGAAGAGCAGGAAAGTCTTGGGCTATCAGCAGTTAGTAATGGAGTGTGTTGAGCAGCTGGGGCGCATGTTCAAGGTAAAGTCCCGGCATCTCCTACTTCATCTGATTTCTTTCCTAAAATTTAAGATTAGACATCGTTGTGAAAATGCTAATTTTAATTTTCAATGCACAATGCACAGCCCGATGTTAAAGCAATCAAAAAGAGGATTGAAGACTTAATCACTAGGGACTACCTCGAAAGGGAGAAGGACAACCCTAACATGTTCAAGTACTTAGCATGATTTGGCTCAGGTCAGTGATATCAAAGGAGTTACTAATTCTCACTGTTGCTATCAGCTTCAGCTTGAGATGACAGTCACGGCTGTCGAAATTTGCAGTCGAGCAGAACTCCTGTATTGTGATTTTGGTTACAGTCAAGTTTTTGAAATCACATCTACCCTGAGCTGAGCTGTGAAAGGTGGATTGATTATAGCAGTCCACTATGGTACCCGTACATGTTAGGAAGAGGCAAATTTCCGGTCTTTGTGAAGAGTGAGACTTGTTTCTATTCACATATATGGCCTTCCCATGAGCATTCTCAATATGTGCTTGTTACTTTGTTATATACCCTTTGAGTATATGTAATGTAATTTTTAATGTTTCAGTGAATGGGGTTTTCTGGAATCGTATTTTCTTCATTGATTTCTTAACTCACTTTCGTGATTGAAGTTCCTTAAACTGGGATTCTTGCTGGGCTAAAAAATAGTGTGTTTTGGCCTTTTGGGGGTGAAATTCCGACTGAAATTGCAGTTTCGCACCTACCTTATTTATTCGTGCTTTTGTAAGTGCACACATATTTTTATGGAAATTTTACAAGGCTGGAAAATGGATTGTGTATACTACTACAAACAGAAATGAGCGGTGTCACTTATTTAAACAAATGTTGCTTACCTTGTGTATTGAAGTGAGATTCTGGGAGTATAACATTTACTTGTTTAAATGGTTTATATTTAGGCTATATATGTACAATTTACTTAAATGTCTCAATATAAATACCTAACTAGAAATTATATGCATATGTGATCGTATATTAGGATGTTTGGTAAATAGTTTTTAGCTGATTAGTTACTGAGTTTGATTAGTTGATAGCATTAGTTAATTGTAAAAAGATGCTCACGGGTGCTGTCTTTTTGGAAGGAGCCATAGGCTTTGTTCACAAGGAGCTACTTACTCCAAATGGAGCACCTTCTGAAAGGAGCCGTAGAGTAGGCTCCGTCTGGATCTAGAAGGAGCTTTGCTAATTATGACGAAAGAAGGAAAATACAAAAAAAAAAAAAAATTATTCATGAACGAATTATGATACGAATGTATATGATGTGTTTGTTTATTTAGTGTTCATGAATATGTTCACGAACATTAAGAAACACGTTCGGCAAACGTTTACGAACATGTTCGTGTTAATGTTAATGAAACGTTTGTGAACGTGTTCATTGATGTTAACAAACACTAATGAATGCTTAAGAAATGAACACGAACAATATTTTTAAAAACATTTTTAAAAATCTTAACAAATGAACACGAACAACTTCTGTTTGTTCATGTTTGGTTCGTTAACAATCCTAGTGAGAGAGGTTGAGTTTTATAAGTGTTACTGTTAAGCCATGTTATTATTATTATTATTATTATTATTGTTATTAGTTTTGTATTAGAATTAGTCAATAAGTTAATTATAGGTTGACTAGCCTATTGTGTAGGAGTAGTTTACGATTATCTCTCTACTATTAAGTGTTTCAGTTGTAACCTCTTTCAGTTGAATGAACGATCATCTTCTCATCTGGTATCAGCAGACCAGGATCCGTTCTCTCTCCAATTCTCAACCCCACCACCACCGTACCCCCTCCGTCCCTCACTAAATATGTCCACAAATTCTTCGGAGAGAACAGTCACCGCCACCCCTTCCGTCGTGCCGGCCGCCACCGCCAACCCCATGTCGGGTGCGCATCACTTCGTCTCCTTGAAGCTCACGATGCGCAATTTCTTGTTTTGGAGAACGCAAATATTGCCTTTTCTCCGCGGTCAGGATCTCTTAGGGTCACTTGGCGAAATCCCGTGTCAGGATCTCCACTTTCTTTTATAACTTATAAGTATTATTATTCTGTACAGTTTTTCTCATAAGTAACTCTTTAACTCTTAATATTATATTTTTGTTTTAAAATATTACAGAGTATATTTTTTCATCAAAATATCACATTTTTTTCATCATAAGTAATAATCAATTAATTTATCATTGATTAGTATTACACTTTTTACATAAGTAATTGTTTAATTCTTAAATATTGTTGTACATTTTTATTTTAAAAGATTACATTTTCCTCAAAATTATTACCAATAAACAATTTATTCCTAATTAATTTTATATTTTTCATTAGTATTACATTTTTATTTTGGCCCGGCATGTCTCATGGATAAGAATTCGCGAAATGGTCTAACAAGAGACACACCCTACTATTTATATGTACAAATTATTATTGTTATTTTTATTAGGAAAAAAAATGTAAAAATAGCCATTTAAATAATAGGGAAAATGCAATTACGCCATTGAACCCAAAAAATACAATTTACTCCCTCAACCATCTCATACTAGCTCTATTACATTGTAGTATTTGTTCATATACTTTCTCAACCTACTGAAACACAAAGAGCTAATAATGCCTCCATTTAGGCTCGAACTTACAACCTTCCAAATGGAAGTCCAACCCGGGTACCATTAGACCACATAGTCCTGGTCTCCCTCAACCATCTAATTTCGTTGAATCCTACAATTAGTCGGTAGAGTCAATTTTTAATCCGTTACTTGCCAACGTGGAATCTAATGTGTTACTCTCTCTGTCCAATTTTATTTGTCCTACTTACTATTCATTGGTCAAACTAATTATTTCTTTTTTGTTTATTTTCTTTAGCATTTTTTACTTATTTTTAAATTTATTTTTTGTGTTTAAATATATAAATTTTGTATACTAATATTGAACTTAATATTATGAAAATTTGGATGAAAAATAACTTCAGTCGTCTCGTTAATCGAAGCGACACATAAAATGGGACGGAGAAAGTATTTTTAATGTTTTTTTCTAAGTTCAGCCAAGATTTTTTTTTTCTTCCTTGTCAAGATTCAACACATTCATCATAGTCAAAGCATGGAAGATCTTCTCCATCCTATTTAGTCTGATGAAAAACAAAAAGCCTTATGATCTTTTAATCGGACTAAACAATCGATAAAGAATATATCGAACCATATTTCATCTTAAAGGAGACAAAAGCACCTTCGTCTCGCAATTGATTATGAGACGAAGGATGGCTTAGATGATTTTTTTTTTTTTTTTTTGTCAAATAATCTAATTTTAATTGTAGAACATATCTAGATTTGTGAGTTAGTGATTGTTTTTTTATGACAATGAGGTTGTGGTGGAGAAGACATCTAAAAAAATTCAAGCCAAACAGGGAAATATTGACTATGTATTCAGACAAGTATAAATATTTTAGCTTTAAACATTGAACACTAGTGGAGAGTTGATGACGTGGACAAGAGTTTTTAAATAGAAAACAAAAGTTATTAAAAAAATAAATAAATAAGCCAAAGGAATAAAAACCATTTTTGTCTACTACCACATTATGAGAGAAAAATAAAATTTATTTACTAATCAAAATGAAAGTGAACTTCTTTCCCATTTTGGTTTTGATGTTCTGCTAATGTTCATCACAGTAAAACTTATTTCTTGTATACAAATAGGTCAGTAAAATTTTAAGAATTTTTTAAACTTAGCTGCCATTTCTTATATAAACCTAAGGTTAAGCTTGTTAGATTGACTTGTTGAATGAGATACTTAAGGCCATCCACAACAGTGGATAATTCACAAATTTTAAGAGAGTCAAGTTGGCGGAGAGAGAGACAAGAGGTTCATATGCAAGGGAGAGAAATAATGGTAGAAAAGTGAGACCCACCGAAAAAATAGAACAGTGTAATAGCCTCGCGTGACAGTCACAAGTGTGCTCAGTGGGCGCATGCAGTGAGCGCGTCATGCACGCTGACAGCGCGCCTGACACTGTTTAAAAAAAAAATCATTTTTACTTCTTTTTTTTTTTTCCTTTTTTCTCTCCCTCTCATATTCTTTCTCCTAATTACATTTACACAAATTTCTCAAAAATCACAAAAAAAAAACCCACTATTATAAATGCTCTTAATTGGAATTATTGTTACATACTAATAGTGACTTGGTAATTTGTAGTTCACACATGCTACCTTTAGAGGTTTGATAGCTACTTTGCTGGCCAACTTTGACCTCTCAATGAGGCAAGAAGAATCCTAGAAATGCATAACTATTTTACACCTCACTATAGAATAATAATGTTCACAAATTTAATTTAAATGATAGACTAATAAAAAAGATGGAGAGAATGAGGGTTAGGTAGTCATGACGTACTCTTTGTTTAGATTTTGTATATTTTTTTTTTCAAAAGCTAATTTTCATGGCATATTTATTAGAATTAATTTCACTTTTGGTCCCACGACTTTTGATGTTCTATCACTTTTGGTGCACAACTTTAAAATTTTTTAATTTTGGTGCCTAACTTTGTTATTTTTATCAATTTTGGTCCTTTCGGCCAAATTGACTGTGAAATGTTGTTGGATTTTATATTGTTAGGGGTAAAATCTTCATCCCAAGGAAACATCTTCAATATCTAAACAAGATCACCGTAAAATCATATCTATAGGTGTTTGATGATGAGAATAATGGGGAAGATGGGCAGAAACCAGACAGATCTATGGGATTTATAGTTTCGACCATTGGCAAACTCTTCTTTTCCTCTTAATATGATTTTTCTTTTGTTTAAATATTGAAGATCTTTCCATGTGATGACGATTTTGCCCCTAAAATATAAAATCTGGAAATATTTTACCGTCAATTTGGCTAGAAGGACCTAAACTGATAAAAATAACAAAGTTAGGCACCAAAATTGAAAAAATTCAAAGTTGTGCACCAAAAGTGATAAGAACTCAAAAGTCGTGGGACCAAAAGTGAAATTAATTCTATTTATTAATATTTTTGTGTTTTGACAAGTGGTCATTAAGTAGACAATTTATTAAAAAAAATAATAAAAATTCAGTGGTTGAAATACTTTTTCGCTACCACTAAAATAACTATTGAGTTATTGATTATTATTATTTCTTGACGAGAAAAATTTACAATTACTATCTAATGGCGTACAATGGTTAGTGGATAAACTTCATTTATGTGTAATAGTAGTGTGCACATGAGACGTAAACCACACTAAGAACACTCCATGCGTCATGTTTGACCAAGAGGGTGTTAACAAGAATCGAACTCATAACTTTTATGTATGAGAATTATACTCCACTCACTTATTAGTCACTTTGAAAGGTGTGATTATTATCATTTTTCAAATTTTATTTTAGACAAAAAAAAAAAAGGTTTGAAATCTATATCTATCTACAAACCTAATAAGAGTCGATTAAGTTAGGCCCTTAACTGCACCTAAAAAAATGTTGGTGTAATTGTTTATTGAAACGTATGGTTCATATTATTTTGATTTTAGTATTTTTATTATTTTTCCTACTTTACCATCTATAATATCATTTACATTTCCTAAATACACATGCATTCTGTTAGTGTAAACTTTAGTAATGGAATATTCTGTTAACTTCTTAACTTACTCGTTGATTTTTAATAAGGAAGGTCTTAAGTCCGAACTTCATTATACATATATTATGAATATTTTAGAGAATAGTTAAAAAATACAATTTAAAATTTAACATGAATTTTGATCAATTAATTAGAATCACACATTGACATTGATGAAATGGTACACCTAATTTACAGTATATATTCAACACAGATGATGAACTATATGTCTATTATCATTGTCTTTTGGGGGAATGAGGATTTGGTTATGTTTTTTAAGGTACTTTGCGTTAAGGCACTAAAATTTCAGTAAAGCACACCAGGGGACTAGATCAAATAAAAAATTCATTACTGGCGGAAGTGGCAACAAGAGGAAACATAGATCATGCCAATTAATAGGGTTTTGTGTTGCAAAAACTATGTTTGGGTACTATCTGTGAGGGTGCTTCCTTCTAAAACTGATATTGCACCGGTTAATCCAAATTTTTTATCACAAGTAATAGTTATGCATTATTGAAATATTTACTTCTATGAAAATTTTGATAATCTTGCATTGATATACGATACTAAATCATACTTTGATAAATTCTGAAACACTAATTTAAAAATAGATACTCCGTATTAGACTTTGGGTTATTTGCACAATGTACGCGTGGTAACTAGTATATTAAATTAGTAAAAGAAAAAAGGCAAATTATATCATGGACCAGGGTCCATAGTGCACTGTGGACCCTGATCCAATACACAAAATTTGATTTCATAATGTACAGAATTTATGTTCATAATACATATACACATAAATACGATATAATGAACATAAATTCTGTGCATTATGAACATAAATTTTGTATATTATGTTAAGTGTTTATGTGTTCTCAACTATATAATGCACAGAATTCATGTTTATAATGCACAGAATAATGTTCATTATATCGTGTTTATGTATATGTGTATTATGAACACGAATTTTATATATTAAATCAGGATCTACCGTACACTGTGAATCCTGATCCACGATATAGCGATGGAAGAAAGAATCTATGGGCTAAAATGCTAAATAGTCGACAAATAATTCATTAAAGGACCCCACGAAAACGTGCAGTTCCAGGTATGAGATAATTGATTTTGCTTCTTTCCAGAACTTCAAAGTTCAAATATTGTCTCTTTTGCCCCCATTCTTCATGTCTGCAATTTCATGTGTCTTCGTGGGACTTCCTGCCGATGATTAATACAACTTCAATCTTCCACTATTACTATCCTTTCTGGACCAGTATTCTTCACTCTTGTCATATGGGTGTTGGGCTTTCCTCTTCTTTTATCAGGTATTTTTAGCTTATTTTACTATTTCTTGTCCTAATTTTTCATAAATTCCGGGGAAAAAAAACCCAATTTCTTGATACCCAAGCTTTAGTTTCTCCAAAATTATCCGATTCCGGAAGCATAGGTACTATGAATGTTTGATTTCTTTGGTTGGGTTTTAGAAAGTTGTGATTTTTGAAGTGTTTGAAGATGATAGCTTGGTAGGCACCGATGTCATTTGCGTGCTGCCTGCCAATTGTTGAATGTGTATACTGTTTAGCCTGTGCCCGTTGGGCGTGGAAGAAGTTTCTTTACACTGCTGGAAGGGAAAGTGAGAACTGGGGCCTTGCAACCGCTAGTGAATTTGAGCCTGTGCCTCGCCTTTGTCGCTATATTCTGTCTGTTTATGAGGATGATCTTAGAAACCCTCTCTGGGCTCCTCCTGGAGGGTATGGTGTTGATCTGGATTGGATAGTTCTCAGGAGAAGTTATGAGGATACTCAGGGAAAAGTGGCGCCTTATATGATATACCTCGATCATGGCAGTGAGGAAATAGTTGTGGCTATTAGGGGTCTTAACTTGGCTAAGGAGAGTGATTATCTTGTCCTGCTCGATGACAAGCTCGGGCAGGCTGAGTTTGATGGGGGGTTTGTTCATAATGGGCTCTTGAAGTCGGCTCAATGGGTTGAGGAAACGGATTCGAAGGTTTTGGGGGAGCTAATTGGGAGATATCCAAACTACACCTTGACGTTTGCTGGGCATTCTTTAGGGGCAGGCGTGGTGACGTTGTTGGCAATGTTGGCTGTGAAGAACCGGGCGCAATTTGGCAATGTCGAGAGAAGACGGATTAGATGCTTCGCGATTGCTCCTGCAAGGTGTGTATCGCTAAATTTGGCAGTCAGATATGCGGATATCATCAATTCTGTTGTCTTGCAGGTAACGTTGCTATTAGCTTTACTCTTGCTACGATGTTCAGCTCGGTTTGATTGATAAAATTGAATCATGTGCTCTGTCTCAACTAAAAGTCTAAGCTGATAGTTGGATTGCACATTAATGGTTATATGCTCAACAGATAAAACGGAACCTTCAGTTGAAAGGGGATCTAGTCATTTTCCTGGCCAGTATAATAACTTCTCCAAAAGAGGATTTTTTGGCCGAGGACCATATACAACTAGGATATCGATTGGATCTATACTTGTTATTCTCATCCTTAGGGCTATTTAGCTATGCAATATTTGAATCTATAATGACCTGTGGGGCAGTTTACTTGGTATCTGCCGTTTCACCTTAAAGTGAAAAGTTAACAATAACAGGCATTTGAGCATATTTATGCACTCTATACTTTGCAAGAAATAGCAGATGTTTTCCTTTCTATTTTGTTCCTTAAGTTACGTTTTCTGCTTATGTTTTTCCCACTTTAGCACGGACTAATAATTACTTTATGATAATTAATCAGGATGATTTCTTACCTCGGACTACTGTAGGACAGGAAAATGCCTTCAAGTCACTTTTCTGGTAAAACATTGCAGGTCTTGCCTCCTTTTAGTTGTAATTAGATAAACTCTCGTGTCAAATGAAGTTAGTGCTTTTGTTTCTTTGTTGTTGCACTTTAAAATAGAAATTTAAAGCCATTGAAGTTTCCTGTGAATATCCCGACTTTGTAGCTTTTGCCCTTGAGGCGCCCCCGGTTGGATTTTCTTCTCATATTTGATCATAGTAGGCACAAAAACTCCTGGAAACTTAATAAGAGAAATGGCTATATGAATGATAGGTCTCTTCATGAGCTTATTTTTCTTGTTTAGTATTATAACTGTTTTAAAGATGCTGACTAGTAGCCAAGACCTTGTGACCTTGTATGAACAGAGCGGTATTGACTTTTTGTGCTTCAGTAGGTTGAGGAAGTAGTTATGAACAGATACTACATTGTAATAGAGACCAGCAACATGCTTAAACGAGTTAATACCCAATTTAGTCCTCGACTTTAATGATTTTTCTTGATTTAGTCATAAACGTCTTTTTGTGCTTAATTGGGTCATTGACTTCGATGGTTTTACCTAATTGAGTCCTCTATTAGGATTGCTCGGTAATTTCCCCTCGATTAATATCCAGTTTAGTCTTTGTCTATAGTGATTTTACCTAATTTAGTCCTCGACTATAGTAGTTTTTCTCGATTTAGTCTTTGATTCTAACAGCCGAGGACTCAATTAGGTAAAACCATCGAAGTCCTGGCCTGAACCCAATTAAGCACAAAAAGACGTTTAGGACTAAATCAAGAAAACCCAGTATAGTCGATGACTAAACTAGGTATTAACTCTCCTTAAACTTTTAATAGCTGTATATCCAATTGTGTTAGGTTGTTTCCTCACTGAATGATTAATATCCATTAACTTCTGATAGTTTCCCATGTGTGCTCTGCATAATGTGCCTGAAAGACACATGCACTATGGAGGAGAAGAAGCTTAAAGATCCAAGGCGCCTCTATGCACCGGGTCGTCTTTATCACATCATTGCCAGGAAACCCTTCAGGTATGTAGATCCCTTTTATCCGAAAATATTGAAGGGTGTTTAGTAGATACAAGAAGAAACGCATCTCCTATCAAAACCGCATCTCAACTAGAAAAATGTGTAAAGCAATTCTTTCCTCCTTCCACTTGTTGCAGCTCGACAAAGATATCACCTGTTGTCAGGACGGCTATACCTGTTGATGGGCGGTTTGAACACATCGTTCTCTCTTGCAACATGACGTCTGATCATGCAATTATTTGCATATTGACCGAAGCTCAAAGGGCACTTGATGTGAGTCTACCCTTTTCTTTTTCTTTCAAAATCACGATACTTTATTGATGGTGTTGGGTGGAGGCCAGTAAAGGGCCAAGTCCAGCATTCTGCCTCCTCTCGAAAATGTGATGGCAGTCTATAAAGAAATAAAGTTTCGCCTTCGCTATCAGCTATAACTTCTGGCGTAGTGGTAAACGCTTGATCCTAATAGATGGAGGGTGGACCACCGGACACTGGTTCTCTTTTTTTTGGATCAGACCACGAGGTGTCCTGAGCAGACCCTAACTGTAGGAGGCACCTTTATGCCTGTACCTAACTGTAGGACACAGGTTCTCTTTGAGTTTCAATTTATGACTATCGTTTTTTTTTTCCTCGTACAGACAATGTTGGAGAGAGATCACGCTTTGGACATTCCCACGCAGCAGAGAATGGAGCGGGAGGCATCTCTTGCCAAAGAGCACAGGGAGGAACACAGGGCGGCATTGCAGCGGGCAGTAGCACTGGATGTTCCCCAAGCATACTCGCCTTCTTCTTATGGTACTTTTCATGAACTCGAGGAAGGAGAGGATTCTGGCAAATCTTGACAGAAAGCTGCTCTTTTTTCACAAAAATGAGCCTGGCAAAATGGAAACACGTAACGATAAACTGAACTAGGAGATGTATAGTGTTCATTCAATTATTTATTTTCTCATTTTTTGGGTTGCCAGATAGTAAAAAACTTTAGTGGGTAGTTAGCTAGATAGAGATGGTCAGTGAAATGGACATTAAGTTACCTTTATTACAACTGTGTCTCCATTCCCAGAGGATCTAGGTAGGTAGAAATGGGAAACAAGACAAGGAAAAAAAACAATTTAGAAACAAGTGTTTTTAGGAAATGAATTGTTAATTTTCACATTAAATTCCTTAAACATGTTTCAATTAAACCTTTGAGATGTATTTTCAATTAGAGTGACTACTCTCCTGTGAAGTTACATGATCTTTATATCATGAACCACTGTTCATTTTTAATATATTGAATGTTCATTTTTAGTATACTGAAAATTTATTTTTAAGTATACTACTTAAAAAGAATTTTTAAGCCATCAAATATGATGATTTACTGATTAGTATACTAAAATGAACATTTATCAATGATTCACATTGCCGAAATTATATTGGTTAGAGTAAAAGTTTGCACTATTCATGGTATAATAATACTTTTTTTAATTTTAAAAGTACGGATAATTGCACTTGTTTGTTTTTTAAAATTTGTTTATCATATTATAAATCTAGTCTTTCAAGTTGTAAATATAATTAATTTAGTCCTCAAATTGTTTATTTATATCATCTTCAATTTCAAAATTTTGAAAAATTAAATTTTTTGTATTTATAATTAGAGAGACTAAATTTATAATGTGATAAACAATTAAGGGATTACATTAAAAAATTTTGGAAATGAGGGATTAAATTAGAGTGAATACCCAAAATGGTCCCTCGACTATAGCTAAATTCACAAATTGGTCCTCAACTTTTAATTTTAACCAATTAAGTCCTTAACTTTGCAATTTTGACAAGATTTGGTCCTCCATCTATTTGACCATTTGTTGACCGTGATCGACGATCTCCAAAAGAACCTTCAGCTTCGTCAGAGCACGTGGAGGCCTCTAGAATGACGTTGCACCGGTTCGGAAACACGTCGTTTTCTTCGCTCTGGTACGAACTCAACTACATTGAATCCAAAGGGAGGATGAAGAAAGGCGACCGAATTTGGTAGATTGCTTTCGGCAATGGATTTGAATGTAACATTGCAGTCTGGAAATGCAACCGGAACCTTAAAAAATCGATGATGGACCATGAAATTACATATATATCCTCAAAAATCACAGTCAACAAACGGTCAAATAGACAGAGGACCAAATTGTGTTAAAATTACAAAGTTAAAGACTTAATTGGTTGAAATTGAAAGTTGAGGACCCATTTGTGAATTTAGCTATAGTCGAGGGACTATTTTGGGTATTTACTCACTAAATTATGTAATGATCAGCAATTAATAGACCAAAAGTATGATTCTTTAAAGAGTTAATACCCAAAATCGTCATCGACTATAGTGGTTTTTCTCAATTTCGTCCTAAACGACTTTGGTGACCTAATATCGTCCCAGACTTTTGTGTTTCGCTCAATTTAGTCCTCCATATGTTATTTCGTCAAATTGGTGTTAAATAAAGGGACAATTCAATAATGTCAATATTGATCTCTCTTTACTTTCGTCTTGTGAAGTGTGAAATTCATCTTTCTTGTACGAATTACACCCAGAATTACTCCTGGACCTGCAAATCAAATTTGATATTCGCAGTTTTAGGAGTAATTCGTAAAAAAAAAAAGATTTCGCAGTTCACATGTCTATGAGTAAAGAGATGTCAATATTAAAATTACTGAATTGTCTATTTATTTAACACCAAATGGACAAAATAACAAATGAAGGACTAAATTGAGCAAAAACACAAAAGTCTGGGACTAAATTGAGCGAAACACAAAAGTCTAGGACGATATTAGGTCACCAAAGTCGTTTAGGACGAAATTGAGAAAAACAACTATAGTCGAGGACGATTTTGGGTATTAACTCATTCTTTAAAATTAATGTGACTATTGTATGTTTACATATACACATTAATATTAATTATAAATAAAACTAAAATATAGAAAAGAAATTAGTGCATCATACTCCAATGCTTCTTATGAAAAGGAAAGAGTATGACTATTTGGTTGTATCAAATAGTTGAAAAATGAAAGGAAGGAATTCCTTCTAAAATTATCATCTCTATTCCTCAGTTTGGTAGGATGGTAATATGGTATCATGGTACCAAAGATTTTTCTTAAAAACATATAGATAAAGAGTAGGTTGTGTGGAGGCAATTTAAAATGGACAATGCTTTATATAGCATTATGGATCCTGGATCAAGACGATAATGTATAGAATTTATACTTGTAAGGTACATAATATTATAACACAAGACACAAAAAATTATAACACAAGACACATACGCGTGTTATATATTTATTTATTTTTCAAATATGATTTAGGTACATAATTTGTGTTCATAGGAACATAATTTCACAACATAAGACAAAAATTTATAACATAAGACACAATTACTAATTTGTTCCATGTACAGAATTCATACTCTTAAGGCATGAAATTTCACACAAAAAATCACAACATAAAACACATACACATAACAGATGAACCATGGTCCGCAATGCAGTGTGAATCATAGTTCATGGTACAAGGATTGTGTGTGGAGTGGCAAGTAAAATTTAGAGTTAATTCCAGCAATGGTTCTCTGACTATACTGACTTTCCAAAATTAGTCCTCGACTTTTAATTTGGACACTTTAGGTCCCTTGACTTTCAATTTCTTTCCAATTGAGATCCTTTCGTCAGAATACGATTAATTAGACTTTAAATGAAGGGGTAAAACCGTCTTTTCACCTGCCTATGTATTATTCTTCGTATTTTTCCCTTCGTATTTCGCTGTTATACCTTGTAAACATCTCAATAATGGAGAAACGCACACATGAGCAGTCAATAAATGGGGAACGACGAGGAACATTCTAGGACTTCGACTGAAATTATCTTCATATATATCGCTTATACAAGGGAGAAATATGAAGAATAATACATAGGCAGGTGAAAGGACGAGTTTACCCCTTCATTTAAAGTTCAATTAATTGTATTCTGACGAAAGGACCTCAATTGGAAAGAAATTGAAAGTCAAGGGACCTAAAGTGTCCAAATTAAAAGTCGGGGTCTAATTTTGGAAAATCAATATAGTCGGAGTACCATTGCTAGAATTAACTCTAAAATTTAAAGAAAAAAAGGATCAAATTGGCTCTTTAAGTCAACTAAATAGTGTAATTGGATCCAGCAAGTAAAAAAGTTTCATTCAAACCCCTGGTAAAATTGTTCAATTGAGTCTTCAAATTAACATGTTTAATAGGTTAGCTATTTTGGTGCTGACATGTATCTTCTTTTTTTTTTTTTTTTAATTATTTTTAATTTTCATTTTTTTTAAAAAAATAAAAATTATTTGAATTTTAAAAAAATATAACCACCGGTGGCTGTCTCACATATAGTCGTGGCTGTTCGGCGAGAACAACTATAGTTGTCTAAGAGTGACGTCCATGATTGTCTCGCCAAACAGCCATGGCCGTTCCATATTTAGACCTCGAAGTCGAAGATGAGGTCTAGATCTAGACAATCTAGAACGATGGCGATGGTCATATAGAGATTGTACATGGCCGCTACCATTATTTCAGACCATCTCCAAAGAAGGCACCAAAATACCATTTGGTGCAACCTTCCTCCAAGGAAGATACCAAATTGTACACTAAAATGGTGTAAATAAGTAGTGTTACACAACTTACACCAAATATGGTGTAACATTACTCATTTACACCATTTTGGTATTTTCAAAATCTTTTTGTCAATTGTTTCATTTTAAAAATTTATATTATTAAAAATAAATTATAAAGATTTAAAGATCTCACTGAGACGTTTAAAACGAGATCAATATCTACTATAAAATAATTAAAAATTAAAATACATAAAAACATAAATTTCATTTTAAAATATTATTATTTATATCAAAATTATATTTTATATTAAAATATTTAAAATAAACAAAATTAAAGTTTTAAATTATAAGAATACAAATTATTTTAGTGTATGAATAAAGTTTGGTGTAAATGGATTTGAGATCAAATAAAATTTGATTCAAAATTTGGTGTAAATAAGTTAGAGATGAAAAAATTTAAAATAAAAATATGCTGAGAATATATTTTTAGTGTAAAATTTGATACAGAATTTAATGTTTTGAATTGTTGATAGCTTATATATGTTATAAGTTATAACTAAACATACACACTTTTTTCTTTTCCTAATCCTATTAAAACTAAACATACACACTTTTTTCTTTTCCTAATCCTAATAAAAACGTGCTTTCTGCATGTCTAAGAAAACATTATTGAACATTTGTGGCCCATTAAATAGGCCCAAAACCTTCTTTCTTCAGTCTTCCACTAGTCTCTTCCAGCAATCAGCAAAACCCTAGCCTCCGTTACTCTCCATCTCGGTCTGCCCTAAAGCTCTGTCCGAACAGCCGGCGGTCGAGAATGGCGTCCAGTGATCAAACGGTGCTCCAGATTTCGTCTTCTTCTTCAACAACCCTCTCCGCTAGGGTTCACCCGCTGGTGATTTTCAACATATGCGACTGCTTTGTCCGGCGACCCGACCAAGCCGAGCGTGTCATTGGAACACTTCTCGGATCTGTCTTACCGGATGGTACCGTCGATATTCGCAACTCCTATGCCGTTCCTCACAACGAGTCCCAAGACCAGGTTCGCATCTGTTTAAGTTTTCTCAAATTTTCTGATTTATTTCCAGTTTCTATCAAATAGCAGCTAAAAAGAGAGGAATTAGATCATACAAGTCTGATAATTGGTCACGTCTTCAAACCTTATGTATTCGGTTAGCTGAGTTATTTGTAATGCAAGCTGCTGAATTTGACAGAAAAGTAGTAGTAGGAAGTATTTGTTTATTAGTAATTCATATACTCCGTAGCATTTATTTATTTTGTAGCAAGTAATCATCAATCCAATAATATCTAATACTATAGAATGCCCACTTTCCCTGAACTTGTTGCTACGGATTTCTACCGAGATTAGATAGATATCCCTTTCCATGTAGTTCATAGGTCATCAGAGGATCTCGTAGACCAACCTTAGTAAGAAAGCTAGAATCTTGCAGAAAACAGTTCCTATTCAAACTTCAAAGATTGATTATTGCTTCTATAAACATGCTTATCAATCCAACAATAATAATATAATATTAATCTGAATTGATTCATTTAGAAGTTTATCTGAATTTCAGGTTGCTTTGGATATTGATTATCATCATAACATGTTG